ACAGAAATGCATGCTTGTTTTATGCAATGCTAGGAAGCTTGCAAGACTTACCTGCAAGGTTTTACAGCTTCTAAAATCCGCTTGGTGTTCCCATCACATGGCTGTGGCCAACTCATTTCTGATTGAAGTCATCTTCATTTACGCAGTTGATCAGTTTAAGGAGAACTACTCCAGCAGCATGCCTGCATTCCCCAGAGCTTTTGGAATAGGGCAACTTATAGCAATCCAGACAGGTCCTTGAAAAGCCCTGCTTCCTATGACGTGTGTTATAACTGCATGGTAGTGAAATGTTAATAACACAGCTACAGCAGTGACAACTGTACTACTTAGATCCTTTTTTTTTTTTTTTTTGTCTAAGTGAGCCTCTTTGTGCTTTAATGAAGCCGCCTCTTCCACATGCAGCAGTTTGAACAGATTTTTAGAATTAATTTGCTTTTTCAAAATGCAGCTGCTAGACTTCGTGTATCACAGCATATTGCAGGACATTTCAAAAGATGAGAGTTTTTATCAAGATTTCTGCATAAGTATTTATGAGGGAGGGAACATCAGACTGCAGTAAGCCATGCACTAGAAGATCCAACCTGCAAACATTTAGAATGACATTAGGAATTTTTGCATTTAACTTTCTTTTCGCCAAAGGAATTTTACTGGACAATTCATGGAATCATTGCTGATAAACCTAAAGGAATCTTATTTGCAGCTTTATAATTTTACTTGAGAAATATGGAGCACCTTTAACTTTTATGCCCACTGAATCTAGTGTTAATACAGAAGGAAATAAATCCAGTGCAACGTTTTTAGAGTACAGCCTAAAAAAAGTCTTTGTATGATTATAAAAATACATTTGTTAATGGCATTTTATGATTAAGATAAATTAAAGCATGCTCCCAAAAGCTTTGGGACAATTCCCAAAGCTAATAGGAGCTGACAAATACTGGGTTTAGATTAAGATCTCCGAAGAACTGTACACCATGTTGTGTAGTGTCAGATACCTGAAGATCTATGTGAAGGACAAGGAACTAGAGACTTTCTATAAGAAAAAAGAAAGACCAAGACACAAAGACGCAAAAAGACCCCCTCGCACTTCAGAGGGAAGCATTCCAGTTGAATGATGAGTTAGCAGAGAGGAAACATACAAAGCAATAGAGAATGGAAGAAGATGTACAACGCCAGATAACTACCATTAAATTGTGAATAATTATAATCTGTGTCACATATTATGGATTTCTCCCTTAGTGGTGGCACAGTGCAATCAGAGGTGAGCTTGGACTTACGTTCTGCATGCCTTGCAACTGGCATTTGTAGAGATAACCAATTGTGTTAAGTGCAATACAGACAAATGCTAAAAGCCAGCCCTTGCCATAAAAGGATTAAACAGATACATGCTGTACTGGGACAAAGAAACCCCTGAGAGTAGTAGCAAATACAGAGGGATGTGAAAATGACCGTCTGAGAAGGGTGTGACTGCATGCATATAGCAAAGCAAGGCTGTTTTTTTAAGAAGTGAAGATATCAGAGGCTGTTGGGGAAAAGCACATAGGAGAAAACAAGTTATCTCAAATCCATTTGCCTGCTTGTTGAGGAAGAAGGGATTGCATTCCAACAGGAGCAGTCATAAAGCCTCTGGGTGACAGATGGGAAGTTTCACCATGTTGCTTTGACTGAGTTTCATATTGAATAAAATGCTAAGAGCACGGGAAACAAACATACCCAAGCTGGCTCTTCTCTATCTGAGTCAGCTCCACAGCTGCCAAATTCAACTTCATTAGAAACTGAAGATCAGAAAGTCAGGACTGGAGTTTTCTGTGTAAACCACAGTACTATAAGGGCTACTTGACTTCCAAGGCCACTTCATCAGGCTGCCTTCCTGCTGCATCCTCTAGTGCTTTTTGGCATTGGCTCCCACAGGGACATGGAGGACAATACAATAAAGAAAAACTGACATATGCTGTGATGGCACAGTCACAAATGTTTAGAGACTCAGATCCCAACTAGGGTTTGGATGCTAAAACAGACCTGGTACGCGATACTGAAATTGAGTAAACTCCTAGCAGAGGCAATTGTGAAAATTGGACTTTGGCTTTCTATAGCTGGAGGCGTGCATTTCGTGAGAGATCCCTTTTGCTTTGCCTCCCTTGTCAGAAAAGCAGTGGTCAGCTTTCCCATTTCCTCCCTGACAATCCCATCCCTTCTACTTATAGAAGCAGACTGTTGGCTGAACAGAGAACTAAACTCACTTTTGTCAATAGGCTTTTTGTTGTGACCTTGACTTTACACTTTAAAAATCCTATGATGGGGCACCTCTGAGGTCCTCATCACTTTGCTTTCTGACAGAGTTGCAAAGTTTTCCTGTTTTGACCTGAGATTGCATATCCTGTGCTTGCAGGTTATCAATGGAATGATGATGGTGAGGAGCGTGTGCTGGTTAATAACAAGTGTAAGTGTGTAACAGTGACCTCAAAGTTTGTCCCCTCCAAAGACAATCCTGAGGAAGAAGTCCTGGAGAGAAACATACGTATCATGTAAGTGGCAGACAAGTCTTACATGGAGATGGTGAGCAGGAGAGTATGTGTTGCAAGAGTTTTCTTTTGTTTGCATTTTTTCAGATGTCCCATTGTTTTTCTCGTGGGCTGCTTACTATGCTGTTCTGCAGTAACTCCCTTTGCTCCAATCTGGGGCTTAATTATCTCATGTGCAACTATGTGGTGTCCCTTTAGGTGCAAGAAGGATCTTGATCTTTTAAGGAGTCAAGTAGCAGCTTCACAAAATAAGCTGTGGATGTAGAGTAACATTTATACAGTTCACCTAATCTGAAACAAAATTGGGCCAGTGACACTGAAATTTCCTTTTCAGATTTGATTTATGTTAACAAGTCTGTAATTTTGTAGCCTGGAAAAACGAATTAATGACAAAACTACTACCAGAAAAGGTCAGCCCTATGAGGCAAATCTCAGACCAAGAGTAAGAATTTGTCCTCTTCATTCACATAAACCTGACGGAGGTATCTCTCTTGGAAATGGAATGGACAATTCAGGCTCAGACCTGAAGTAGTTCTGGTAGAACTCACAACAGGAGAAATAATAATTAAATACCTCTGTCAAAGTTTTGCAAGTCTCACAGGACTCTGCCAGCTCAGACTTTAAGAAAATAAAATAGGCACTGACACCTTGAAAGCATCATTAGTGAAAGGAAGCACTTCAGAAATTGCTGCATTACTCTTAGGAAGAGCATAACAGCCTCCAAAGCTGCCTGGAAACCAGGTTAAAAACAACATCTTGCCTTCAGGGGTGCAGAAAGACCAAGACTTCTTTCTGGAGAAGAGTCAGAAAGGAAATAGCCTAAACAAGACGAGAGTTGAGAAGTCATCAAAGCAGAATAGTCCCCTGTATAACAAGTAGTTTTCACAGGAGCAATTCTCTTTCCTCCATTCCAGTGTCCCACTCAAGAGCCGGCAGAATATCTCTGATCCCACATCCCCACTCAGAACCAATTTTGTCTACCGCATGACTGAACTGTAAGTATTTCTCTTTACCACATTAATTTCCTAACACTTAACCTATCCTGCAGCACTGCACACAGTGGCTCACAAACATCTTGAAGGACAGCTGATAATGTGAAGGAGCATAACAGAGGAAAGTTTTCCTTTTAGAGCCTTATTTGTGTATTCCATTGTAAGCCAAGAAATTGTTACATCTATGATTTATTACATTAAAAGTGTTGCATTTGCAGGCAAAGTCTCATGCTGACCCATTTTCTTCTTGAATATCGTAAATATCAAGAAATTACATAGTTCATCTTTAACCCTCCCTTTTAGGGGCCAGTTTGGTGAATTGCAATTTGACACGCTGAAAGCATCTGGCTGGGAGTTGCTACGAAGTATCCATGGAAAGGCCACAGTACTCAGCTAACTACAGCTGTCAAATTAGAGAGAAAGACTACAGTTTTGTCAGAGGTGTCTTAATCATAGCTCTGAATAATTCTATTCCTTATCTCTTCCAGATGCAAAAAATGTGATCCCACAGAAATTGAGCTGGGGGGTGAGATATACCAGGCCCAGCAGAGCAACTCCTGCAACGAGCCAGAAACCTGCTACACTTATGACAGGGACAAGTGCTACACCACAACCATCCCGTTTGTCTACCATGGGGAAACAAAGCAAATTCAAGCAGCACTGACACCAACATCCTGCTATGCCGATTAGCTCAATCCACTGCTATCCTAAGACCTTGTTTCACTCTGTTTTCCTATCACCAGACCATGTATAGCATTGTAGTACCTGGATGACAGCATACAAAATATCAACTCCCAGAATAATGCAAGCTTGCTTCATGTCATTTTTCAATATCAGGAGTATCATCCCTAAGAGTACTTGTTGGTTATCAGAGTCTTTTCTCTTATCTTTGTCCCGATATGAGCAGATATTGCAACACCATTACGTCTTAGACTTTATCATCAGATAGATAGACCAGATCCTCAAGCAGCTATGAGTCACTAATTCCTCTGAAATCAAGGGAACAACACTAGTTAACAACAACAGTAAAGAATCTTTTTTGACCATCTTCCATCAGACTGAGTAAGACTGCCATGGACATCAGCAGAAATGTCCAAAATGTCCATCTATTTTGGTTGCTTCCTTAACACTGTAATGCAAACCTCTGTGCAACCATTATGCAAGACACTTCCATTAATTTAGAATAATTTATGTCATTAAAATCTATTGTACAATCATCTTTGAAAGAAAAATAAGGTATCTGAAATCTGAATTCAGATTTCAACTTCAATTGAGCATTCTATATCCTTCTAGTGCTATGGCTATTATAAGCTTACAGTCTTCACTTAGATACAGAAAGTAGGTGCCAAGATCCCAGCTCTTTTAGCAATACTAGACCGTATATATATTTTTTTCATTTCCCACACCTACTCATTGACAATGATGTGTTCTCAGTTCAATTAAGGTTGAACACAATCAAGCTGGCCTGAATTTGTTGTTCCTTGTTTTGCATTTAGAGCTGGAAAAAAAAAAAAAAATCCTATGAAGCTGCCTCACTTGCAAGAGCAGGGGCCCTAGTTAGAGATTCATTCCCTTTTCTACAACTGTCTTTTTTTCTGTTCATATAGGAAACCTCCACCAAATAAAGGAGCTGATTCTGTATTGTCCACTGCATTTAAATGCATTACATTTGGTATTGTCCATAGACATAATGTATGTGAGTGCACAAGGTGTCCATTGTTGTATTTGGGATGGCTAATATGTTCCTCAGTGTTGGCAGAAGTTGATTGCAAAGGCTTAGGTTGTTCTGAAAAGCCCTTATGTGGCTGCACAAATTACTGCAATAACAACAAAACAGCAAAAAACATTATCGTCACAGTTTTAGCTTTGTTAATTCAACATTAAATAAACTTCTTTCTGCAGCAGTCTGTTATGTTCCAGTGGTGTTCATAAGAAAAAGCCAAGTCTATAATTATATTATTGCCTACTTCACAAGAAGCTCTCCCTCAGCAACTGCTTTACTTGCAGGTGAAGGCTCCTGAAATACTGAGAATGAAATATTACGATGCACTTGCAGAACCTTTGACAGATAGAGGTTGAACTGATTTATTATTTTAGCATCAACTCTGCATAATAGTGCAGCTTCAAGGCACCCTGATTCTGTGCAGGACTGGGATTTAAAAATCCAAATAATACCTAAAATCCCTCTGAACATTATGATCTGCAGGTAAGAATTTCCCTGCACTGCATGGGAAAATCTACCTTTTGGGTATGCTGGGGGCTCCTCAATTTGTATGGAAGATAGCTTTCCTAAAGATAAAGTAATCTTATAGAGGCCTGGTTTTGGAAATCAAAAGAGGAAATCAGACTAAATTAACAATACACCAGAGTTAGGTAAAATGAACTTAGAAGAATATCAGCCTCTCCCCTCCTTCCTGCAAAAGACAGCCAATTCAAAGAAATAAGAAACACAAATTGAGGCAAAAAGACTTCTGCAGTGTACTGACATGGCTATCTAGAAGAATATATTGATTAGGTACTCAGCTTGTTGAAATTTGTCTCACAAAAATGTTGATCTTGAAAGTTCTGAAGCAGATGTTTCTCCACCATGTAGGAGTGCTGTGATGTTTATAGGTCATGATAAGGCTGCACTTCATCTGCCTATGCAGCCCTTACAGTTACAGCTATGCAAAGCCAGCAGTCATTGTGGCTCTGCCACCATTCTGGAACATACTGTCTAAATGTGAAATTTCCAATTCCAAGTAAGATGGAAGTAAACAAGTTTGAAATCATTCAGATTTGATATGTGTGCCAAATCCCAACTGAGTGGGGCAGATGGTCACTAGAGCAGGTTGGTTTGGGAGATCAAATTCAGCTCTGTGCCTTGCTGCAGACTACCTGTGACTGTGTTGGGTACAGCTTGGGGTCAGATACAGCAACGATCACAGTTGAGTGAGTGAGTGAGTGAGTGAGTGAGTGAGTGAATGGGGACTCCTATTTAACTGCCACAATACTTGGCAGATGAGCAGGCATCAGCTGAAGCCTCAGTTGCTAGAGCTCTGAGCCTCTAAGCTTCATCTAACCTATAAAGTGTCACACATGCAATGGAAAGCCTGTGGTATGGAGCCTCTCTCATTGGTATCCATCCAGCAAGTGACTCAGCTTGTACATCCAATGCTGCAAAGTCATTTAAAATATGAGACCCCTAATGAAATGAACAGATGCCAACACCTTGTCCTTTGTTCATCTCTGAAACAGAGCTAAAATTACAGTTCATTCTCAAATGGATGCTGGTAATATAGATTGAAGCAGTAAGTACAATGTGGATGCTTAAAAATTAGTAAGCTGACTGTAATCCAGGACTTTTGATTAAGTCAGTATGTTAGAGCACAGGAGTGCCTTTCAGCCAGTCTAAGAACTGCTAAGATATCTAAATGGCTTATGCCAATAATTTGGTGGTCCGAGACTGATCTTCAAACTACTTGTCTACTTCAGAAAAGAACTCAAAACTATTTTTATGTGTACTCTAATGTAAGAACATTTAAGGAACAGTTCAGCTATTAGCTTCTGTTCATTCACAGAGAATTTAGAAATCTGTGTTAACAGTAGTGGAAGAAGCTTCTTTCATCTTATCTCTTTTGACATCACTTCTTAAAAGCTTTGAACATCTTCTCTTGAGCTCCATTATAATTTGTCCCAGCCAGCATTTTCAGAAGGAACTGAAAGAAAAAGATTAAACATGTGATTAACAGACTCAAATATCAGATATTAGAGAACAATTGAAGAAAAAGGCTAAAACAATATCAAAAGGGTCAACAAGGCAGTGCACACAATGTTCACAGTTGCAAATATTGCTTATGACATGAAACCAAACTCACTCCTTTCTTTGGCCCTCAGAGAATGAAACCTTTTTCCTGTTTACTTGCTGCCAACACAGTGGTGGTCCCAGCACCACTTTCAAGTTCCCCTGATGTTCTGTGCTCCTGAACACATTAAAATCTGCAGCATCTGTGAGTATAACAGTCCCACCCCCCTCCATAATTTCCAGCACACAGGAGAGAGGGGAACCAGGGGTCCCAGATCTAGGTAACTTTACAGCCAAGACCTTGGGATGACACAGCATTAGCCACAAGCACAATGAAATAGAGGCACAGACAACAAACACCCTTAGCAAATTCTCTTAACTCACCTGAGGCTTTTGGTAGCCCTTTCTTTCCAGGAACTCGTTAAAGGCCTGTGTACTGTAGAGCTGTGCAACTTCTATCTCCTCAATTAATTTCCAGAGTAGATAAAAAAACATTCAAAATTCATTTTTATGTATAGGTTCCACATTCCTAAATAAACTACATGGTGTGTATCTGTCCAGATGTTATAACTAACCTAGCAGTATTTTAACTGCAAACAGTATTCTAATTCAGATTTAATTTGTATTTTTGAAAGAAATAAGGTTGCTTAATGAACTTGAAGTCTTTTGCAAATTATAACCTACAGCCCTGTACATCTGATATCCCATGCTAGACAAAGTCACTTTCCCCCATCATTTTTTGCTAAGGAAAGAAGGGAGGGTCACTATTATGAAAGTAAGCACACCTCCCATCAATTGGATGTGGTGTAATTCCAGGAGCAGGTGGACAAAATTAGCTGGACTTCCATTCAACCATGAACTTGGCTTTTATTTTTAGGCATAATTAACACAACCAAGACCTTTGTCTTGATGTTCTCCTGCACGCAGTTATTCCCAGGCACCCACTTTGCAAAACTTTCTCCTTTGTTTTATAGGCAGCCCCTTGCATAGGCACGGTTTTCGTCATGAGCAACTCAGCTTTACCTTGGGAAGGAGTGCCCCCTACAGCATGAACAACGTCCTGCTTCCCTTTTGTGCACGTAGCACAAGCATGGAGATAAGAGTATTTTTACAACGAAAATAAACCTAGATCTAAGATAAACCCATCAGTTGAAATAAACCTGCCTGTTCTTTCAACTCCACCAACACATAAAAAAACTGAAGTACAATGCAAGCAACCTTTATTGCTCATCACTCCTTAAAGTCATTTGGGTAGGCACAGTACCACGGCTGAATCCAGCTCCTTTTTAAAGGCAGTTATTTAAGTACTGCAAAACAAAGATAAAAAAAAGCCTTAGAATGTTCTAAAATACTAATTCCTGGCTTTCAGCATGTGAGTGCTTTTTGGCCACATAGAGTATTAAGTGCATTAGAAGAACTAGACTTAATTTACTTCAACTAAGTCTTGACTTGTAACTGTGTGCCTTCTAGAGCTATTGCCCATGTAGGTGCCATGAAATCACAGCCTAACCACATTGAATGAGCCTGTTTGAACCATGGTTATTTCTGCTTGGATGACATGGTCAGTTCTACATTTGTTTGCAGCAGTCAGGCACAATAAAGTACGGAGTTGTTCCCATCATAACATAAGCTCTTCCATAGCTATATCACAAAAGAATGATGTTAGTTTTACATTCATGCTACCTTTCCACTCAAATGGAGCTTTGCATTTCAATTTTTTCCCCTTTTCACTCCCACAGAGGCAAACAAGCTGCTACTAGGTGTCTCTAGCCTCATGTCATCTGAACACCAATTGTTTATTTAAGTGGTTCATTGTGTGGAAAACCTGGGAAGGAGGTTTGTGAGGCTTATACTTTGGGAGTCAGAGGCTGAATACATGCTTTTTCTATTTCAAAACAGAATTCCTGGACTACAAGGCTATAGAAATACTAGCGTTCAGATTAACCCAAAACTGGCCTAACTTTGATCACTCACCTAAAATTGCATAGCAGAGCTTTTCCATAAAATCCTCCTCAAGTTTTTACCTCAGCTGCTTATAGTTTTTTTCTAGGTATTCAGTGATTAAGAGAAAGCACAGCAAGAAATGCAGTTAACAGGAAAGATGGGGACTTTATAGTCATTGTCCAATGCTTTAGTGTCTTCCACTTGTTTCTGCCTTCACTACTCTCCTTGCACTCCCACAGCAATGCCACAAGTATACTCTGGACCAAGAAATTTAATAGACTCCAAAGATAACACCTAACAAACTGCTTTTGAGGTATGTCAGACATAATGTATCACACTTAATCCAAAACTCACACAACACTGATCCATGTTTTCCATTGATTTCACTGACTTTGGATACAAGTAAAACTGCTGAGAATTCTCTATAGTTTGACCAGCAAAAAGACTGTATAGCTATACCTTAAATAGTACTCTTAGGTCTCATTCTCCTATCTTATTGCTCTGCTGCATGTAAAAAGTAACCATTATTAAAGAGTTCTTATTCATGCACACTCTATTTCCCTAAGATAAGTGAAAACCAGGTTCCTTCCTCAGCTCTAGCAGGTAACCTCCGCCAAATGTCATCCAGAACAGATAGACTTCAGTAAATATTACTGTGGGCTCTTTTACCTTAACCTGGCATGGCAGGCACCCTAGTTGATGAGAACTCCTGACAGCAATCTTGGGAGGTGAAGCCTCTTGGCTTTTTGACTGCTCTGGTTGCACATCGAGTTTCACTGCACAGAAGGGTGTAGGGAGGGTGACCTCCCTTCCAAGGCTGGTGCTGAACAAACTTTTGAGTGCGTCTTCATCAATATTCCAGTTCCCTCCTCCCTAGAAGAACAACATCATGAAAATCTCAGAGCAGGAAAAAAAAGCAACATAATTTTACTACTTTTTTCTTCCACATATTTCCTTCCTCAAACCTCAACTTATAGTACAACTAAACCCTGGTCATGTGCTTGCATTTGCACCACAGCGATGATCATAGAATATCCCAAATTGTAAGGGACCCACAGGGCTCACAGAGTCCAACTCCTGGCTCCACATAGGGCACCCAAAAGTCAGACCATAAGACTGAGAGTGTGGTCCAGGTGCTTCTTGAGCTCCAGCAGCTTCTGGCCATGACCACAGCCCTGAGGATCCTGTTCCACTGCCTGACTACCCTCTGGTGAATAATCTTTCCCTGATATCCAACCAGAACTCCCCTTAAGCAGCTTCATGGTGTTTCCTTGGGTCCTGCCACTGTTGGTAGAGACCAGCACCTACCACTGTGAGGAAGCTGTAAGCCCCTCAGTCTCCCCTTCTCTGGAAAGAACAAACCAGGAGACCTCACCCACTCCTCATACATCTTCCCTAGAACTTTCACCATCTTTGTAGCCCTGCTTTGGACACTCTCTAATAGTTCTATGTTCTTTTTGTACCATGTCACCCAAAATTGCACACAGTGCCCAGTATGAGGCCACACTCGTGCAGTGTTGGAACTAATAAATGAAGACACATTTCAGATAAATGAGAACTGCTCCCAGGTGAAACAGTATAATAGCAACTTGAACATAGGTGGATCCCCTGGAAAACCCTTCTGAAGCAAGTTTACTCTGCAGAGATTTTGTATCATGATATTTCCTTCTTTCACATTTCAGTGGGCTGAGCCTTCTCAGTCACAACACAGAGCTATGTTTCTGACTTTGACTACTGGATTCATGTACCCAAAGCCATATTTTCACTTCTCAGATCTAGAGACATTTGTTCTAACAAAGTAATTAGGTTTACAAAATGAAAGAACAGACAATGGCAATTTTATTTTACTTACCAAAGACATAACCCAATCACAAAAATGCTTGGTTACTTGCTTTATATATTTGTCAAGTGGAGCTGGGTCACCCCGTGTGGCCTCTCTTTCTCTTGCTGCTACCTTCTTGGAAAGAGAAGTACCTGCTTTTTTGCCTCGAGACTCCTGACTGCTGCAAGTTTTAAAGTAATAAAAGATGAAAAGTCCTTTAATTAGCTACAACAGTAGTGACTACACAACTGTTACTAGACAACAACCATATGTCTTTGTATTAAAGATGGTGCAGTTTAGCACCAGACATGGCATGATTTTTGCCATGAATACTCTGAGCTATTTGAATTAATTGTAAATATCTTCATAGATATTAGGGTCACACCTGCTAGATCTAGCAAGACAATCAAGGTTTGGATGAGAAACTTGGGAAATAGCCTGCCATTTTTGAAACTGAAAATTCTTAAAAGTGAAGGCTTAGATATATATGTTTCTCATTGCTATGCCTTTTGTTTTTTGAAAAAACTGAGAAGGAGATATGTGAGGCTTATTCTTTGAGAGTCAGACGCTGAGTAAGTGTTTCACTGCTGAAAGGGCATAGGGATAAAATGAGAGTGATTATATTTTGCCTAAGCTGGTTCAGATTGTGAGATTAACCAACAGCCACAGGCTGAATCCTTATGGTTTTGTAACACCCAGAAGCAATCATGACTTCCTTCTGAACAGGTTGTGAGATATCAATTAATTTATCACTGGTATCACTAAGGAAGTCAAAGGGACATATCTTAACGAAAATCATCCCCATGACAGATTTTGGGTAAAAGGGCTGGTTGAAGAGGTAAAATTTTAGAAAATGCTCATAGGAACACCAAGTCTTAGACAAAGATATAGACAGCAAGCAAATTAATTAAATCAGCACCAGCTGAGAGGGCTCGCTGTACCCAGTTTAGGTTTGCATCATTCAAATTCTAAGCGAGCCTCTCCACAGGAACCGGAGTTCCTTCTTTCCACACATCTCACCTCAGATAAGGAACATTTAAAGAGCCATTTGTATTGCTCTCCTCATCTTTTCCTGTACTCACCGTGCTAGTATTTTGCAACTTGTTACTTTCATTTGCTTGTCCTCCATACGATCCTGCATCTCTTGAAGAGTTTGGTTTTCCTGTTGATAGTCAGCCTTACTCTTAAATAAGATTTTGGGATTGAACATACCAGTGACCTCTTTGAAGAGCTGTAAGCCAAGGAAAAAGAAATCATCTGTTCAAAAATACCTTATGGAATGAATTCCTTTTAGAGGCTGCATGAAGGACTGTGCAACATGCAAATCTCTTCAAGTATACTAACGGTTAAGGCTGCTCATAGTCGAGAAACTTCAAGCTATAGACTTCTTTCCTAAATCTCTAAGGCATTAATTGCAACTCAGGCTGCTTGCCAGATCTCAGAATAATGCTCAATTTCCAGTCTCTGTAATCTTCTATGGCAATCTGATGCACTACAAATAAGCTTTTATTTCAGTTGCTTTTAAGTTTTCTTCCTCTCAGTACAACTACTTATATTTCCTGACCCCACTTCTCCAGTGAGAACAGCTTGGAGAGCACTGCTGTTGCCTGATCTTAGAGAATAGACACCTGACTCCCTTTTCTGAACTCAATTAATCAACCTGTCATCATCTTACTGCATCCAAGCCTTAGGGCAGTACATCCCCCCAGGGCAGTCTAAATAGCAATATAGACTGTGATGCTTCACACCCAGGGGTCCCCTTGTATTATAGTATGAAGTCTGCCATTTCCAAAACAGCCTCCTCACTCTCCCCTTTTCCTTTTGTGAAGTACTGGTGATAAAAAAAAAAAAAAAAAGTCACTGTAGTTGGTCACAGTCCTCTGTTTGCAACACTCAAGTAACCAAATTCTAGAAATTCACGGATACAGAATAGAACCATCTGCTAACTTTTGTTCGTGTGAAGCTAATTTGAAGCAAATTTGAAGAACCAGTCTGGGAAGAGGCTTCTGTAAACAGTATGAAAAAAAGTTTAGGTAGTAAGATTATATCCTGCTATTGTGGGCATGGTCTCAACTTTTGAATTTTTCTTCCTGCCCTATGATGCTGATTTGTTTCAGGGGCTGGTAATATCTTAACACATAACATTCTGTAATCATACTGCGATAGCACAGTCAAATTTCTCAGCCTCTTTGTAATTACATCCTGCAAATTTCTTGCTGACAATCTGGTCCTACTGTCTAAAATTAAGAGACCTTTAATATCGCTTGCTTTATTTTTATTTTGGAAAGAAGTAAAGGACAATGCTTTTTAGTGTTAATCAGAATAGCTGCATGCCAGATTAGCTTCTTGTTTCGACTTTCTAAAGAACGAGTTTAATCAGGATTATAAAAATCATTGCCTTTGGGGAGATGCTTTTTTCCAAACACGAATAGAGCACTGTAGGATGCTGATTCAAATAGCACTCTATGCACACAATGTAATTCCTCCTGCTTTGCTGCTGAGGACTGAGCTGGGAAAGACACACCTGTATTTTGCTGGACTTTTTGCTTTTATTCCATGAAGCTGTG